ACATTTAATAAAATATTTATTTTCAAATTATTAACAACTACGCACTAAATTGCTTGATAAATTATTATTTTTATCCATATTGCCCAATATTTATCTGACTTATTGATTTCAAAAAATACTCTAATACGATCTTTTCTATATTTATTAAAATGCATTTATAGATAGTAGAAGTTATCAAATTCGCGCTCTTAAAACGATAAGTTTTATTTATTTTATTTTAATAAATATTTTATTGAGTCCTTAGTGAATGAGTTTGATGGGCGCATTAAATCGCAGCAAATTTTATGAAGTAGTATAATTTATTACTGCAGTAATTTTTATAACGGTTATTAAATGCACTTATAAATAGAGTTAAATTTATAAGCACAAGTTTCAAATAATACCACCTATTTCCCCGTTTGGTAAACTCTAAAATTTATTGAAAATTTTATTTATCATGTTGCAAACAAGGTTAAATTGTTAAATTGTAATTAACTTGTTTAGTTAATCACAAGATATTTTAATAAGCCCATATCCATTTAAAGGGTAAAATTTCATTACTGTCCATTTATATATGTAAAGCTTAATTCATCATTTCCCACATGTTTTCCTCAAATTATGAAAAGAAAATTATAAACAGATTAAAGTTTCGCAAAGGTTTAAATTTTGTTTTTTTACAGAATATTTTTTTACAAAATTTATACATTCTGCAAACACCAGTCTACGTTCGGAGCTTTTCTAACGAATGGTCATTATTAGTGTAAAATGTTGATTAGGACTTTAATGTGAATTATATCACTTTGAGGCATTTTATGCATAAATAGATATTGGAAAAATAAATTATTCCTACTAAGTTAAATTGAATATGTTCTCTATTAAATCTATCTATCTATCTATTTTCTATTAAATCACAATTAAATTTAAATGAAGAATTAACTGTAATGAATACTTTTGCTACACGATTTAGCCACCGCCTTTTAAGACATGTTCGAAGAACACTTCATGGCAAATTTTATTACTACATTAGGTAATAATGGTTGCAACTACTTTAAGTTGTATGTAGTAATTGTAATAAAGAAATAATCGCCTAATTGTTGTGTTCAGCAGCCAGAAGTATTTTTTCCAAATTATCTAATGAGCAATCCCTGTCAGTAGGTACTTTTCTATGAATTATATCATAGATTATAAATTTTAAAAACTATTCCTAAACAGCTGTTAACTATTAGTAAGTTAAATTATAATCAATTCCCGCCGGTGATCTCCTAAAATCACAGCCACAAAATAACAAATTGCAGAATAGCGCGGCTCGCCCCACGCTATTTCTCCACCGCCACCACCGGGAACGTACGAATTCGTGCTATAGCGGAGTTAATTAGCAATTACCGTGCTTAAGGCATGAAAATAATTAAAATTAGTTTCTAAATTTAACGTCGCATTCGGTCGGATTTTGACGAGATTGCCAGCCGCGGCGCAGGTGAAATTGCAACCGCTTTACATGGATCAGGGATGGAAAATCGGATTTTGACACAGGATTAATACACCTATTATTCATATGTAACGTATTATAAAATTAAAAATTTATATTTCGTATCTCAAAATTTTCTCGCCCTCAAAAGGGCGAGGTACAAAAGTAATAATTATACTGTCTGTACTAGATGACAATACATAACATATATCAAACAAACAACCATCGAAGTATGTTTAGTGAAATTTCTAGTTCACTCTTAATTATAGAAATATGTTTATTAACTTCCCGTAGGATAAGTTATAGTAATCGCAAAAAAAGTCAAAAATGAAAATTTTTTGTTCAATGTTTCGTTTTTACGCAGCTACCGAAACGTAACCCCATTGCTTTAAATAAAAGTTCAAAATTTCCAAAATATTTTACAGTTAAAAAAAAAATCAATTTGTTCAAAGAGTCAATTTTCATTCAATAATTTTAAAATTTGTAAAATTATTGAAATTCAATCTCAAATAATATTTAAAAAATCCATTTTTTTCAAAATTCTAAAAAAAATGATTTTCTAAAAAAATGATTTTATAAAAAATAATTTTTTGTACGGGAAGTTATAACAATTTGCCTTAAAGCACAATGGCCATGCACCACTTTTTGTCCTTTGGGAAAATAAGAAGGGATAGCCAAAGAAGCAAACAAATTCAACGACTTTTTTTAACTTTAAAAAGATTTTACAAAATAATGGCTTTATTTTTTAACCAATGCAAAATATAAATTTTATGAGTACATTTTTTACAGAGATAACATTGTATATAACCATGATCTGGTATTACTTCAGAATAATTCATCAGTAGAGCTAAAAAATAACTATTTATTTCATTTTTCCCTTGTGAAAATTTATTTATTCATTTTTTTAAACTTAATTTTCTTTTTTATTCACTTGTTATTGCTTACACTATTCCAGGGTAAAGATTTAGTTGGTTTTTTTTACTCCACTCACTTGTAAGTTTTTATAGCAGTTAAATAATTTAATATAATATAACTATTGAATTTAACTTAGAATTTACATTTTTATAAAACAATTAAATAGTGTATACTTAAAAATCATATTAATATCTCGAAAACTAAACAACAGTGCTCACAACCAAAACACCAACGACGAAAGAAAATATATTTATTAAGGATTTTCAAATATTGCCATGGATCTCCTGATCGCGATATAGCAAAATTAAGGTGATAGCTTTATAGTTATGGTTATACATCTTTTGCAAATATTGTTGATAAAAATTTCTTAACTTTCCTTGTTTTCGAGATATCAGTTGTGGACCTTTTTACACGCGGACCTTTAAGCACCACTCTACTCAATTTTCTATATGGTACTTAAATAATTTATAAACCTCATTTATATTTCAATATTCAATATGTTAACAATTATTATTCTCGACCCTGGTTTGAGGTAAACGACGAATTATAGAAGGAACGAATAATAATTTTACATGTGAATTGCTTCATATTTGAGCTTTATGGATCGGCTTGGGTTTCCTCGGTGAAGCGATTTAATTTCGTTTAAAATTTATATTTGCTTGCTGATGTATAACATGAATATATATTAAATATAAATGAACTTACTAATTAGTTAATTAAAATAAATTAATGTGAAAAATGTAGTAAAGTGCTTTCTTAAATCGCTCGATAAAGAACCGTAACGTTTACACTTTTATTAGAATTTGAATAAGAACTATTGCGATTTTAATTAAAAATTTTATGAAATAAATTACAATAAAAATTTATTGAAATGAATAAATAAAAACTTTTATTCAAGAGTCAAAATCATTTAAATAAATACGCTTTTTGGCAAAATTTGGTTAGAACTTCAGAATAAAATTCATATGGCCTTTTAGAATGGATAAAATTATTTGTTTTGAATAATTTTAAATAATCTTATGCGTTTAATTCAATAACTTATCCTAGAAAGTAAATAAAACTTATATCTTGTATTTTTTTACTTATACTATACCTTCTCCAGCCGTTGCTTATTTATACTGATCGATTTGATACATTTAGTTCAGAGTCTTATAGTCATTAGTCTAATTAAAATATTGATCACGGTTCAACCAATTAACACTAAAACAACTTAATGCATTCAGAATGCATGTCATGCATCCATATGCTCGGCCAAATAAATGGCATCATTCGGAACACAGATGCAATCATATTAATTATTCGTAATTTGCTCACGAGCTACAAAAGCTTACTGGTTTGGATTGACGATAATGGTTTAATAATGATTATTTAACATACTGAATGGCATTCATCGATTAATTAATTACACCGGAGACAAACTATTTTGCAGACTAAAAGTAGATTTAATTACGGAGGACGAGAGTAATTTATATACGATAAGTTTTTTGGAATGGGATAAATCACAAAAATTTAAAATTGATTTTTAGTAAGCTTCGTATATTCATATAAAATACAATAGAATGGTTGACAAACTTCAGAACTAACAATCTATTTATTTTACCTATTCTTATGGTTTATTTTAAGGGGAGAGCCTGCTTTAGAGGCTTCAATAAATGGCTTTATTAAGGAATTTTTAGGAAAGGAAATAAATATTTAATTAAAACGAAACTTTCAGGTTTCATGATTATATATCTCAGAATTCTTCTCAATTTTTTTCATTAAAATATATGTCATAATATGCCAGGTACAAGCATTTTGCTGAGGCGCCAATAGCGTGCAGGTGTTATTTGGTGGGAAAGATGCATGTCACAATTTCCATCCGAAACAAAAAAAATTAAACAAATTTATATTTTTAATAGTATAGATTCTAGTTAAACCTAAAAAATCAAGAAAAAAGTGAGTATTTAACCAATTTTTTGCAACTTAAAAAATTCATGTTAAGCATGTTTTTTGATAAAAAAATCACTTTAGATTATTTAAAAAGTGGGTAAATTAAAACTTTTTTTAAGGTTTTTTAGGTTTAACTAAAAGAAATTTAATTCTGAATACAATAAATTTTGTCTCGTTTTGACAGAACGTATCTTATTTTTCCCGCCAATTAAGTAAAATCTAAAAAATGAGAAACCAAGAGATCGCGCGTCGAAGTCTTCGTTCCGCTTTTATACATGCTCAACACTTGTTCTCAATTTCTTCTGTAACCCCGAAAATAAAATGAATTTGTTTCTGAAATTTTAAGGATATATTCTTGGTTATTTTTGGTAGACATTTTTGCAAAAAATCGATTTTTTAAGCTTTCAAAGCAGGCTCTATCTTAAGATAACTAAATACTAATCAGGTGACCACACGTCCTGATTTGTCCAGAACAGTCTCAGATTTCTACCAAACAAAAAAAAATTATATACCCTTGTCTCCATGAGTCTGAACCTGGCAATTACCCCCTAATCCTAACAAGTGTTCCATTCATACTCCTCTTAATTCATGTGCTAGATCCTTCAATACTTAACAACTCGTCAAATTAAGGATTGACAGCATTAATTGGAAATCAAGTATCAACATGTGTTGAATTGAAGAACAAATTGAGTAATATAGTAGTGTGAAGTACCTGTTGCTTGGTGATGTAGATAGGCTTATTTATCACAATCCAAGTGACAGTTTCGTGACATGCGGGGGCCGTCGTCGAACCTTCGTACGTCATGTATTGTTCTGTGTCCGGCAGCAGACCCCTTATCGATAACCTTCTCACTGGAGCCTCGTCTCCTGAAATAATAAATAAAACACAATACAGTAACCACCCCAAATATGTATATATATATTATATATATATATATATATATATATATATATTTATAAGTGCTTCCAAATTGATAAAACAAATTCTCTGAAATCTTTAGCACGTAATATGAACTTTAAAATAGTACGCACTCCAACCAAAATTTCTTTGGAAATGAGTAAAATGCTATTTGTTTTAAATCTTAGCGACAAGCGAATCAAAATTTTTAGAATAACAATGTTTTTGCTTATTTTGATCATTATTATTTGATACATTTCATAAAATAACTATTTACTTAAGAAGAAGCTAAAACTAGTATAGCTTTTTTTATCAATTTTGAAGCATTTGCACCGCAGGATATTCAAAGGGAAGGGAAGATAAGAAGGAAGGGAAGATTGGGTACGGTTATGCCAGGTTACGGTAGTAACAGTCGTCATAACAGGTAAACTATATTGATTTTGGTCCAGGGTCAAAAAAAAGATAAAGTATGTTTGTTCGAACAAGTTTACATTATTGCATTGACATGAACAAGTTTTATTCATTGCCTACATTAACATGATCGAATCGCTTTTAAAGAGTCAAAAGTAAGTTTTTTTGTTCGATTTCTTTTAATAATAACTGTTACTTGTATACATATTAGGGTGGTCCTTAATATAGACATGTTCGAATTTCCTTGTTTCCAAGGGCTCAAATGATTTCAAATTGATAAAAAACAATTCTCTGAAAGTTTTCGCTCTTAATATTGTCTTTTAGATACAGCGCAATTCAATCAAAGTTTTGTATGGAAATAGCATGAAAAGTTTTTCAAAAATTTTGCAGAGCGTCAAATTTTCAATAAAAAATGACACTAGTTTTCACTTTTAATTCGTTTGTCGCTAAGTTATACCTAAAATTTTTTTTTTAATTTTCAAAATTTTCTCCATGGCTTTTCTATACGAAGTTAGATTGAATTGCGCACTATCTAAAAATTAATATTAAGAGCTAAAACTTTCAGAGAATTGTTTTTTATCAATATGGAACCATTTGAGCCCTTGGGAGCAAGAAAATTCGAAAATGTCTATATTAAGCCACCCTAATACATATATATCACTTTGTTAAGTTGCTGTAAGTTGAACATTAGTAGTTAATAACCGGCAATTAGTTTTGTTTTATGTGATACTTATATCCTGTGATATGTATTTTTTTACGTTTCTAAATAAAATTCAAACAGATAAAAAAATCTAACTTAACTGAGATAACATACAAAAGAAAAAAGAGAAAGAAAATTTAATATAAGAGAACAAAATATTTTTCGTAACAAAATTATGTTTTGTTATGTATTGTTATATTTTATTTATAAGCTTTGTTTAAACGATTCTATTGTGTTGTCTCACATATTTCTGACAATAACGGTCATCATAAATTATTTTGGTGTTTATAGCAATTGTTTTTTAACCTATGTTTGACCGTACCTCTAGTGTGGACGGTTGTGACAGTCGCCCTTTTCTTGTATGATTCAATTTCATGACTAATTCATCGTAATTAAGCACAGTATTCAAGTATTTTCTCGTAAACAAAATGTTTAAATTACCATTTAATTTATTTATCTCGTAGCTAACTGTCTAATAATCAAAACTATTGCTTACCAAAAAAGTGGCACAACCGTACCAAATCTTCTTACTAATAATTAAAAAAAGATTGATGTTAATTTAATTTCTTCTTGTCATCATTTATATACCATGAGTGAATCGGTAAGGATTATAAAAATTTAGTAAAAATATACAATAAAATACTATATGTTTTCGAAACAATAAATTTAAACATTGCAACATATCAAAGATATAAAGTGGTACTTTTAGTTTTTGGACATTCTTTATCATCAGCAGACTAATAATATTTTTCTATTAAAAGATAGTAAAATGAAATTTGTTTGAAATATAACTTATATTGTATTTTTCACAAGCAGTGTGTCCATTTACAAAAACGAATGAAATAAAAAATTTAATATAATCCTCACCTCCGAATTGTATCTTATCCAGCTGCTCCGTCAATATTCTCAACTCAGGATTGGATAGATCTCCCAGCTGAAAAATAATCAAACGGTTTTCAGTTAGTTTTGCAATTTTGACCATAAATCACTAATGACAAGAAACATCGGCCTGGTTTTAACGGGGTCGAAGCAAGAGGCAGTATTTCTCTTCTTGGCCAAAACTTCAATGATTAATTTCCTTAAACACTCTTTGGCAACTTCACATCATGGAAAACTTTTTCGACTTCAGTCTGATAACTTTCGAAGCCTATACTATGTAAGTGAGCCACGATATAAATTTACATTTAAGCGTTGTTTCATTTCGGCTTTATCGAAATTTATGGGAATAATATTTGGTAGCTACATTGTAACTCTCATCACAATGTAACTAAAACTAGTGCATAACATGGAACTTTAAGAAACGTTTCTAGAACTCCCCTCCTCATAAACAATAGCTAGATTTGTATTAAATGAGAATCAGTTTCGCGATTTAACTATCAATTTCCAAAGAAAATTGATTTTTTACAAAGACTTATTTTTGTGTGTTGGTCCGAAAGTTATCATTAATACATAGCAGCAATCTATGGTTCTATAAAAAATAATAAAGAATATTCAATTTCTTTATCTAATATTTAAAAATTTAATCGAATATTTAGAATGTTTTCTTGAGAAATTTAAACAAGTTTTCTAAATAATACATAAAACCAATACTCAAATATATGGAAGGTATTCAAAGTTCTATAAAAATCTGATAATTTAATGTATATACAAAAAATATTAACTTCAGGTCTTTTAGCTTTAACATCTGAGTATTTTAGGTAAATTAATTATATAAAACTAAATTTTCTGTTTCAAAAAGACAAACTTAGATACATACATAATTTATGTGGAAGTGCAAACCTGTGTGCAAGTAATATTTAAAGTTTCATCCCAAGTTTTCAGCTTAATGGAAAAATCAATGACGAAGGAAAAACGTAAAAAACCCTACGATAATCGACACTAATTTTCTATTAGGAAAACTGTGCAACTTTTAGCGATACATTTCATAAAGAAATATCCGTACGGGCAATGTTGTATGCTTAAAATATCCGAGAATAAAATTTTCCCATGGATGGAAAGTTGATAAGAAAAGTTTGAGCGTGCAAAGCGAATATTTGTTTTGGATATTAATAATTTGGCTAATATAAACATAATTTTGAATATTTTGCATGCAAAATTGCTATGGTAAATTTATATTTAACTAACTTCTTAAAGCTGCAATATTACTATGTAATTCTAATAACGGTCTGCAAAAATTGAACTCAAAATTTTTTAATATACAATAGACCATTTAGGAAAGAAAATATATTTCGGATTTACCTATGAGTTGATTATAATAAATTGCTGTTATTAGAAAAATGTAACTTAACCATGAATAAAACTGTGAGTCATATCTTGAATGCACATTTTAATTTATCAAGTATTAATATAAAAGAGCGTAAATGATGAAATGATTTGAATAAAATTTGATAAATATATTACATTAAACTGCAACAAAATGAAAAGAAACATCATTTTTATTATTTGGAAACATAATAATATAAAACATATTGATAAAATTGTCATTTGCTTTCTTAGCCAATTAAATCTAATAAGTTTGAAAGTCTAATAGAAAAAAAGTATATATAATGCAACAATATATAAAATCAAATTGAGATAGAAATCTTCTTTGAATGTTGAAAGAGTGGAATTTATATAATAACATCATGTTTATTAAGCTTTTCAGAATTTAATACCAGTACAACACATTTCTTTACAATTTAAATTGAAAATTCTATATAAGTGTAAGTGTACACAAAAAAGTCTGAATTTTTTGTTAAAGCTTTTGAAACGCGTTTATTGCACTAAGTAAATATATGAATTCTATAGTTTAGAAATCTTCACAGTAACATATTACTAGTATTTTTTTATTTTACACGATTCGAGCTACTCTTAGTTATATATGAGCATAGAACATGCTATATAATAACATTAAAGAATTTAACTTGCAGAGATTTCTGACTTGAACAACTATGACAAATATTTTTAAAAATTCCTTAAAACATTTTTCCTTGCTTGAAACCAAAGTGCCGTCATATGCAACACGCTTCTACAATAATATGTAAATTTTAAAGTTTTCGAATATATTTGTTACGAGTTAAGTTCCTCCATATTAATCATTCCTTGTGGTTCCGAGCAGAAGTTTTAAAAGCCGGGTGTATAAATTGCGTTTCTTTTTAGTTCGTAGAGGTGTTTTTTTCTTCATAAAATGTCATTTTAATTTCAGTTTAGCCAAGAACACAGGTTAAACATGAATATATGCTAATGCACACCGGTGCACAAAATGCTCTCGCGTCGAGGAAACGCCGGAACAGATTTTTGTTTTCATAAATATTCATTTCAAAAATTAAATGGAGATACCATGGCAATATGCTCGCTGATAAATGACTGTTTCTACTACTTCTACAACATTTTCAAGAAATATAGTACAATGAAAATGAATAAATTCAAAATTTGTACAGGGATCAATGCGTTCTAACCAATATCAAAATATTCAGCATCTTATTAGAAAGATTTTCTTTCTAATCAAATTTTAAAATAATTTTATAAGACCGCGATCGTATAAATTACTTAAGATAAGACAATACTAAAGAAATGACAATCTTAGAGCTTTAATTTTATTATTTTATAATGTAATATTTCGAATTGAGACAATTGCAACAATTTTTGCTTACATTTCCAAATATCATCTTATTTCAATTTGCTTTTAATACATGAAAATGAAAAATTTTAAAATTTTATCATATGTAATTCAGGCAAATAATTTTCAACCTCAAAATCAATAAAACTTATTCTAATTAAAAAAGAGGTCTTGAAATTAAATTTTTCAAATCAATTTTCTATACAAAAATTTATTCGACATAATTTTATACATTCCAAATCCTTGAAAGTTTTAAATATTATTATTATTATTTTATTTAATTTTTGAAATATAAGATTTATGGATTCATTCTAATCGGATACTATCCATATATGTTTATTGTATACATTTTATATAATGTTCTGTTTGTGCACTTATAATTATTAATGCATTTTTGACCTATAAAATATGAATTGTAAAGTTTACAGTATATCTTAATATTAATCTGTTCGAAAATGCACAAAAATATTATTAATCATAAAATAAGTAAAAATCTGGCGCAAAATTCTTGGTCACCTTGCCAGAAAACTTGACAGAAATCCTGTTACAAGGAAAACTGGCGTCGTGTGCACTAGGCTAGTAATAGACTTTCTTATAAATTTAAATTTTATCTGATATTCTATTTGTATTACATTACTTAAACTATAAGCTATAATTAAAATTTAATATAAAGTTGAATTTGTATTTTAAAAAAAATATATGAAGCTCTAAATTGTAAAAAATCAAGGTAGATTTTTTTGTTTTTGAGTTAAAGGTGAATTAAATTGTTTAATAAATTTGCGATACCCTATTAAATTGAAACCTTGTTCTGACACAAAAATATGTATGGATGTTTGATGATATCGTGCGCGTGATGAAATAACAAATCTCTAAAATTTTATATTATTTAATTTAAATTAATTGACTTACTATTGATTATAAAATTATCCAACATACAGAAATTGCACACGCACACATTCTCACATTTAATTGAGTATATTTTATAGTAAAAAACAAAAAACATAGGCGTTGGCCCGGTATCTTCAGTATCAATATTCATCTTAGGTTATTCGGCCACTTGTACATATATGATAGTGTGTTTCCTGTTTCGGCTCTGAAGAAGCTGCTGTACCCCCAATCATGGCGGCACATAAACTTTAGTTTAACCTTTTAGTAAATTAATCTTAGAGCAATAATTACTGAATTTATGGTAATTTTATTAATTTATTAAAAACTCGGTTATGTCAAACAAACAAAACATTATTAACGAAAATAATAAAGCTATAAGCACCTTTTTGGCAAATTCATTTCCACCAGATGCTAGAGCCTTGGAAAACTTTCATCGCTCATCCTTAAATATAGAAGTCGGTCAATTACATAGTTTAATCGATCCATAATTCAAACACTCGAAATAATTAAAATTTCAATTAACTTCAATGTAAAATAAGTTGCCTATATTTCCCTCGACTAAAAATATTCATCGCGCTTTTTTAATCATGCCCATAAATCTATCATTTTTCCATATGTCAGTGACAATGATAGATCTTTTAATTTCGCAAAAATGTTCGTTTCAATATCCGGAAATATGCGCACACCGCACCACCCATACAAATCATTGCTTTTTTATATTTTTTTTGCATATAAGTTTTAATTCGGAACGAGAGATATCGCCGTGGAAAACATAAAGTATACGAAACGGTAACTGAATGGAACGATATATCATATGTCGCCATATCTTTGGAAAAATATCGATTTCGCGTAAATTTTAATCACATGAACTAAAACCGAGTGCGAACTGGAAAAGGTATAAAAATTCACGACTTTGTCATGCTTTATAGCTTTGCGAGCTCTAGGAATAACTTTGACTAGATATGACTGAGTCAATCATGAACACAAAGTAAAATTTGAATAGAATCCAAAAACAATTCTCTCATTTAATAATATTAAAAAATTAGTATTACATAGGAACACATTGATACAATTCATATAAGGAAACAAAAACCACTCAATTATGGTATATTCACCTTTGAACCCTTACATGGTCGATTCCATAGATATTCCACCGGTACAGATATCACATACATTCGACAACTGATTTACGGCACTATTCGATGAAAATGGAAAAACCTTTATGGCACACCGCGAAAAATAGAGAAAAACAAGAAAAATGACATACAAGCCAGGTCAACTACGAACAATCATTCGACTTTATATGGTTCTCTATATTTTCCTTCTCCAAGATACAAAAAAATGTATATAGCAGTTATGAATTCAATTACGAAAGATGATGGACATATCGATTGATTGATATTTTGATTTTTTTAATTTTTAAAGGCTAATTTAGATAGAAACTATTATTTAAAATATAACAACATTAATAAACATACATGAAGGACACAGATTTTCGTTGGAATATTAAAATGGCAAAAACTGTAGAAATAATAGATATGGATTTATATAATAAAATGTTTATTATTACTTTATTAAAAGCGTAAAAAATAGTTCGAATTAAAATAAATAAAATCTGATTTATATTTTTTTTATAAATAATCGTAAATATAATTTTGATATTAAGTTTCTATGATTTTAATTTAGAGTCAAATGATATGATAATAAAAAATAAATAGATATACGTTTTGCTAAAACAATATTAAATTCTAATATTATGAAGAAATTAAGTATAAAAAGTTAGAGCCAAATTATTATATTGATATTTAAATTATGAAAAAGACTATGAAGATTATATAATTTGTCAGGTATTAAATTAATAATTTTCTAAATTAATTTTAATTGATAGGATAATATCAATTTAAACACAAATATATACAGGGTAACCCAGAACTCAACGTCAAGCCGAAACGAGTTATAGTAATAATTTAATAATCATAAAAAAGTTAATTTATATAGTTTAAAAATTTTGAGCTTTTTAGTACAACCTAGAGCTTTGGTGAAAATGTAACTATTTTTCGATCATTATTAATTAATTTGAATGATTTTCTTTCATTTCAACTTCAGGATAATGTCAATTTAAACACAAATATATACAAGGTAACTCAGAACTCAACGTCAAACCAAAACGAGGTAATAGTATTAATCATAACTGCCATAAAAAATGATCTTAAATAGTTTGAAAATTATGAGCTTTTAAGTACAACCTAGAGCCTACGTGAAAATGAAACTATTTTTTGATCATTATGGTTAATTTTTATGAATTTTGTTTATTTAAGCTTTGAATCCGTAGCCGTAAATACCATTTCTAAGACCATAGTGAAAATATTGATGCAATTGCTCCAAGTTTTCAAGAATTGAGACATTCTGTTGAACTATTTTTTTTTATTTTCAAAATTGATCAACTTTTATAGGCCATCTATAAAAAAATGCACTAAAGTGTGTTGGTCAGCTTTATCAAATGTAAGATAGTAAAATATAAGCTTTTCGCTCACATTCGGTAAAAATTTTTAATGTAATATCGCCAATCAAGGGTTCTGGACATATGTATATATATATATATATATATATATATATATATATATTAGGTTGTCAAATATCTCCCTTCCGCTTTTTTGCTCTCGGTTTATAATACAAAAAGGCGGAAGGGAGATATTTGACAACCTTTGACCAAATGGGTAGTACTGCCCTAAGGCAGGTCTGTGAGTTGAGTTAAACTCAAAGTCGATTCAGGGAAGAAGTAGTGTTAGAGATTTTCCCATTTTCATTTCACACCGCAGTGCCCAAGATGGGCTAATTTTCAATTGGAAACATATTTTGATCTATATTTTCAACTGAAAATGGAGAGCGGAGATTCAAACGCGCGCCCTTGTCCATACAAAGTCAGCGCGTTAACGACCTTCGCCACGACAACCCGTATATATAAATATGATTGTGTATGTACGTTATACACTATATAATATACACATGCACATTTACGTTCAAATACAAAGTCAATAAAAATGAATGAATAAGTGATATAATTAATTATAAAAAAAAATAACTTAAAAAAGTTCAAAACATGTTACCTTCAACTGTCAAACTATCAATCTATGTATAGTTGTCTATTGGAGCTGTTAACTTCTAATTTTTATCATAATTCAAAATTAATTTAAATTCACATAAATACTAATTTGGAAAGTTTAAATTAAATTTTATTTCTTAAGGAATTTGTTGATTCTTATTAAATTATTTACAAATATTTAGCTCGTACAGGTACACACACAGACACACACACAAACATACACACACACATATATATATATATATATATTATATAATATTATGTATATTTTAATATACATCTATATCATATTCCCAACGCATTCAGAATTCATACCCTCATCTACATTCAGCGTCCATCCTCGTCAATTCCTATTCCTATTCCAATTCGAAATATTGGCTAGATGTATTTGAGGTAAGTAACTATAACTTAATCTTACCTGTAAGAGTAGCGAGACGCCGACGATGCCCTGAGCTCGGGATAAAGCTTCTGTGAAATTCGTGTACAGCTGAGAATTGTAGCCGTATATCTGGATCTGTGAAATTGAACGCAAACCCGATAAGCGTTTCTGAATTGCGACGTAATGCGGATCATTGCCGATGGGATTATCAAAACAACGTGCAAACGCATATGGGCGCGATCGGGATTAGATCACGACGCGAGACCATAGACAGACGTAGGTACGTCGGTTCGAATCAATTACGAATCCACCGAGGCAATTATATGACAATAATGGCATTGTGAAATATTAATATGGTTTAAATAAAAATATGACATATCAAAATTACTGTGATATGGTTTACTTGTTTCAGAGGTCCCAGGTTCGATACCCACTTCGAGCAGCCTGTTGTTAGGCAGCAGTGACAACCATTTTCACTTGGAAATATAGACAGCAATATGTTTCCAAGTGAAAATAGCACTCACCCGGCATTGCTGCACCAATAAAATGTCAGCCCTATTAGATTAATTCTAATAACAAAAATCATCAAATATGGATGGATTAACCATTGGGTTACCATCTAAAAAAATACGAAGGAAGGAGAAGTTTCAGCCCAACAGCTCATAGGACGTAAGGTTCTGATTGCTGTTTAAAAAATAATAATAAAAAAAACTTAACAAATACGTTTCTGAAAAATTGATAACGATAAATTGAAACTTATGAATTATAATGTGCTAAAACCTCAAAATCAATTCAAATTAAGCCTGACAAATTACCATGATAGGCATGGTATAAACAGTTGGAATTTTTATTATATATGCAGCAAATTACAAAAATACTAATTACTATAGGGTACCGATTCTTCTGTCGCATAACAGAAAAATGTTATGGCAAGGCCATGTTACGAAGAACTTTTCATATTAAATATTGACAAAAGCCATGTGGTTGGTTATAGTATTAATTTAACTATCATAAAAAAATTTCTAAGGTTGTCAGATAGAAATCCTAACCTAGAAACCGCACAAATGTCAAAAAACGATCTTAGATAACAGAGTGTTTCTGAGACTGCTTTATAACTTACAACTCGCTTATCACATGCGAGTGACGTTGCAGTCTATGTATAAAACGCCTGATACATGACATTTTGACAATTTAATATGATTTAATTACATAATGTATGGAAGTTGGAACGTAATATGGCCTTGCCATAACATTTTTCTGTTATGCGGCAGAATCAGTCCCTGAATTTGGGCAATATCGGCTCCTTTAAAAAAGTATTTTTAAAAAAAAACTAGATTGAAAAACTGACAATTAGAGCTTTAGACACAAATTTTAGTACACTAAAGTCCTAACAATATTATTTACTTATTAAAAATATTCAGTTTATTGTGCTACTTCCGATTTGTTTCAATTCACTGCAAATTTTTTAATGATATTGTATTCTTACTAGAATTAGGTCTAATATTTAGAACCAAAACCAGAGAACTTACAACAAGATATAAAATTCAGAACAATCAATAAAATTTAAAACAATATCAAAAATTTGGAACAATTTCTAAAATTTAGAACAAAGTGCAAAATTTAGCATAAAATCTCAAATTTAGATAATATCTATAATTCAGAACAATATCTAAAATTTACAACTATTTCTCAAATTTGGAACATTATATAAAATTTAGAACGATATATTATATTTAGAACAATATCTAAAAGTCACGATGATATTTAAAATTTAGAACAATATTTAAAATTTAAAAAATGGATTTAAAATTGGCATCTAAAATTAAGAACAATCTCTAAAATTCAGAACAAGCTCTAAAATATAAAACAATATTTAAAATTTAGAACAATATCTAAAATTTAAAACAAGATTTAAAATTTAGAACAATATATAAATCTTAGAATATTATCTAAAACTTAGGATGATATCTAAAATTTAAAACAATCTCTAAAGTTTAGAACAAACCCTAAAATTTAGAACAACATATAAAATTTAAATAAATCTGAATGATGAAATTTACAGTATTTATAATAATTATTTAATTACAAATTACAATTAAAACTGTTATTAATTATTAATTAATTTTATTCCTGGAATGTTTAATTATAGTAGGGAATGTTCCAGCAGTTTTTTTTAAGACACAATGTCATGCACCGCTATTTTAAAATTGTAAGATCTATACAAGTGTACAGTATTTTGTTAAGAATTTCGAAAATTATCGAAACGCATAATTCAATTCCACCGCTCCTTCTTCTCGCTTGAAACTTTCTCAGCTCGATCGACGTTTCTTGGCAGGATAATAATAATGTAATTTATTGCAGCGTTTGTGTTACTCAGCAAAATAATTAGGGCGATCTGTTTTGCGAACAATTATCTATCTCAATTCAAGCGTTTCTAATGAAAGCACGACAATGACTTGAATGCACCTCATGTATTTTCCTTGGCGAACGGCTGTGCGACGAAGAGTCATAAACCGGCAGTAAAGGAGACGGTGTCCACTGCACTTTTATGATTTTGGAATTACTTTAGTTCATCTCTTGGAGATGGACAAGTAAACCTGAGTTATCACACTGATACCCATATTATTAGGAATTCCAAATTACCTTCTATTCTATTTCTTCACGCGAAGGATGGACAATAGGACACTCAAGCTTTTATACTGTTGGTGATATTGTCGAGATTTTTGACTGATGTTACTTTCAGGTTAGTTGAACGATGAACGTATCATATCTAATGCATATCATATATCATTACATCACAATGATTGTAAATGAATATTCCTGTACTCTATTTCCTGAATACTCACAATACAAGCCAAATATACACTAAATTTAAATCAGTAATAGGTTGAAACGTAGTCTCTAAACATTTGCTGTACCGAATGATACCTTGAATGATTCGAAGGAATATTGCAACTTTAGATGTTTCGATTAGTCTTTCACCCTGCACCGTTTCTGAAGATTAATTTGCACGTCAGGATCTCTACGGGTTTTACTTAACTTACAAGACTTGACCAGGAGATAGTTCACCATATTTGGTATCAATTATTTCAATTGCATTGCAAATAGACTTCTCAGCGATCTTAATTCATGAAGTCGTAGACGAATGCTTAATTTAGTATTCTTTGAATTATTGAAAAATTGAAAAGTATAAGTAACCAATGAAATGGGTAACAATTTAATAAGTATTTGATCACCAAAATCTAAAAACCTGGCGACCACTGAAAAGAATTATGAAAAAAAAACCTATGTGGAATAGAAAATTTAGTGCTTTTAGTAATATGTGATATTACTATGTGTAAAACTCCGTAAACTTGCTACTGTTGTAATTTTGTGTTTGAATTATTTTCTATTTCTATTCAATAATTATTAACAATAGCTATGATTTCATACTGCTTCTAATATTATTTTCTGGTTTCTCAGCTAAAGATATATATTTGGCTGTGTAAAAATAAAAATATTTATATTTGAATGAGTCAATACAATTAATATCCTAAATAGGACTATATGATTCAAGTTTTGGAGTTATCAAGTAGAAAAATAAAAATTATTGGATATTGGATTATCGATAAAGAATTGATTTATTTTCATGGATTTTAATCTATATTATGTTTTATAAATGTCAATTTTGTGAACTGAGTAGCATTAACAAATCATTGATCATTTTTTGTAAAATTAGTAAATAATTTATAAAATTCAGAAGTATAACTATAATAAGTACAGTTATTTTTAAATCCTTAACATTATTAATTCTTAATAATAATATTAATGATAATAATGATTAATAAATTCTAATAAGATGCCAGTTTTGTCGTGGCTATTTATTAGCGGTCAACTATAGCTTGCACAGATCAATCTAATCCCTGACTGTAATAATATCTTAAAAAAAAAATGTATTTCTAACCAAAAATAATTTCTGTCGGGTACTGTGATGTGAAAGACAAATGAAATATATATAATATTTGTTACACTAAAGGGCCGATTGTGCCGTAATGATAATGATATGGCAAGACTATGTTTTGTGGCAGTTTTCATATAAAGTGGTACTAAAAACTATTATAATCCAATGTTGGTTATTGTGTAGTCAAGCGTTTGAGATAGAAATCCTAATCTAGAAAACGCACAAAAGTCAAAAAAATGATATCATAACTGGATTTTTGAGATATTGCTTGAAAACATTTCGGTGAAGTTGCATTTTATGTGAAAAACTTCTAATGGCACTGCAAATACATGAAATGTTGATAGTATTTAGTAGCATTTTGTATGAAAACTGGAACGTACATAGCCTTGCCATAACATCGGTCCCATAAATGTCCGTAAAGTGTTTTTAATTCTCTTATTTACGAATGTGTCTTCGAGCAGATCACTCCACCATCATTATTAATTCGAGCCCAACAATATGAATAAGGCACCCTCTGGCGCCTATATTATGGCTGTGCCTCCTGATGCGCACTTTAATATAACGGGCAATTAATTACCTGCTCTCATTCGCGTATATTACAAAGAAGTAATCACTTTGAGTAATATGTGTAATCTTACGGGCGCCGCGCCTTTGATCTAAACACACGGAAAAGAAAGAGAAGCCCAGACAAAGGGTTCGGGAGGCGGCTGAAGTTGAAGAATATATATGCCGAAATTACTCATACAATGTCTCGCAGCCTTCATTTGAACTTTGTTAATTGCAAAGATAGTTTCAACTTTGATAAATAGCTGCCTTCATATCGCGAGCGTTTGCAAACTCGAAAAGGACAACGTATTGTAATATTTTTCGACGGAGGATTGCTTCAGTTATTAAAATTTACATTATTCATTGTATATGTATCAGGGCCGGATTTAAAAATTTGGCGCCCTGGGGCACTGACAAAAAATGCCGCCCCATCCCTGAATTTTTACTTATATCATTTTTCTTAAATTAAAATAACTATTTGATTGCAGAAAATTTATTACGCATTACATACTATAAATAGTGATGCTTGGCATCGTGAGTTAAGACAAATTGCTGGAACTTCCTGTACCAAAATTTTTTTTAAAGCAATCGCCCTGCTTTACCTGCGTAGAGACTAAATAAAGAAGCGCGTAAGCGCCGCCTCGCAGAA